GGTGATTTTGACCTCATGCAGCAATTTCGGGTTCCTTGGTACGCCAGTTAGCCCCTATAAGAAATTTGACATGATTAGTAGTCAGATCAATTACAATCGTAGTAAGTGATTGACCTGACGAAAGATCGTCTCAATTAGCTTAAGCGCCTAAAACACTGGCTCATTACAATCGGTTCAAAAGCAAGCACTTAAACGACAATATTTCCAAATATGGATTGTCGCGCATTCTTATTAAACGACAAAGTTTTCCCAAAATTGGATTGTCATCCCCAACTGACAATATTTCCAAAAATGGATTGTCGTGCATCTTCTTCAATGACAATTTTTTCAAGATTGGATTGTCATCTCTGGCAAAGTTTCCAAGCGTGGATTGTCGTGCTCCTTCTTTGTTTGGCAAGTTTTTCCAAGTTCGAATTGTCATACATTCATGGATCTTTGGCAAGTTTTCCGAGATTGGATTTTCATTCACCCAGTGCCCTATGGAAAAATTTCCCAAATGATAGTTGTAGGACTCCATTCATCATAAATTTCGGCAAAGGTTCCTCAACGTGGATTGTCATTCATTTCAATAAGTGGCAAATTTTCCCGAAGTGGATTGTCGGTCGACTCTTTTTTGCAAATGTTCCAAGACGCGAATTGTCAGTCGTGGCAATATTTTCCTAAAAGGATTGTCGCATAGCATTGGAAAATTTCCAAGGTAAGAGTTATATTCCAAAATGTGGATTGTCGACCGTAGCAAAGTTCTTATGAAAGATTGTTACGAAGCATTGGCAACTTTTCCAAAGATTGGATTTTGGCAAATTTTCCGAGGTACGGATTGTCGCTTCATCGTGGCAACATTTCCAAGGATGGATTGTTACGTGGCATTGACAACTTTCCCTAAATTGGATTGTCATAAATTATACAAGAGTTATGTTGGCAACTATTCCCAAAGAAAAGAGGATTGTCATCACAGCAAAAGCACCGACATACTGGTTCACAAGCAACAAAGTGCCGACGTACTTGCATGGCAGTATTCAGGATTAAAAAGCAGTGATCTTTTCGAAGACTATCACAACGGAAATTGAACACATAAAAAAGAAGCTCTTTTTTCAGAGACGCGTGAACATATCAAAAAGAAACTCTTTGTTCAGAGACGAGTGAACATCGATTCAGAGACGAGTGAACATCGAAACAGCAAGGTGGCGTTCCCTAGATTGTGGAGAGTTGTCACAAACAACTGAGGATTGTTTCAAGAGAAGAAATCTTCGATGGTATTCCCTTGGACGTGGAATATTATCATACCGGGGGAGGATCGTTTCAGGCGAAGCAGTCTTCTATATTGGAAGCAGTTACAGGCGTAGCGGTTTTCAAGTGGGGTGGCATTCTCTAGCTTGCAGGAGGTCATCAAAACAATCGGTTACTTTCAGAGACGTGTGCTCGACGGTGCAAGATACGCGTTTCTTAACTCTTTTATCTGTTTAACTAATGCTAGTTTTGAAGGTATCGGCGTTACAAGAGTGGTTTAGGATCGCAGAACGTTCTGAATCATTCACCGTCCCTATCGCTACTTTGACTTTTGTTTTCGAAACTTGCGTTTCTCCAAACTCAGTCAAAGTGGAGGCTTCTGTAGACACCGATTTGTGTCTCCCCAAAACCAAACCCGGTGATGAGTACCTTTCACGTTGAATCATAATTGACTGAAGCGAAAGTGTGGAAAGTTTAGTGTTGCGGATAGTTTTAATTTCTTTTCTCTTCTCTCTGTTTTTAAAAACTTATTTTAAGAAAACATCCAATCCAGTTCGGTTGGTCCATGATATGGGTCCAATAGTAGTGTAGTTGGATGGGGCTTGACAAGAGCTTTCAATCGATATATTATAAGCCCAATTGCGATAAATATTGAGGAAATTATGGCCAAATTACTAACCTGGCCCGGTTTGAGCCTTATATGCGGCCCAATGATTTAAGGGAGGGCCTAATATGATTTATCATTCCTAATGCAATTAGGAATGGTTTTAGTCTTCTAGATTCTTCTAGAAGGTTCTTTTAATTCCTAATTCGATTAGCATTGATAAATTGACTTTTGTTGACTTTTTAGAGTTTTAATTAAAATAAAAAAGCATTTTCGAGGAAAAGATACGATTTTATCCTCTAGTACGGCAAACTTATCTGATTTTCAAAAACGCGTAAAAAACAGGACTAGCGCTTGACGCCAGGCATTGGGGCCTAGAGCTAGGCCTGGCGCCAGCCATTGGCGCCTGGAGCTAGGCCTGGCGCCTGGTGCCAATTAGCCAAGGTTGGCGCCAGCTCTGTTTCACGTGCGCCAAGTGCTCTGTTTTGATATTTTATCTTTTTGGATGATTTCTCTATAAATAACGACGTAAAAACTCCGTTTTCATTCACCTATAATCAGTTTTCAATTCTCATTCTCTTCTAATTCATTCATTCATCTCTCTTTTTTTCTCTCTTCTAAACTCGCTTTTCATACAAAATTCCGCATTCATTAGCACTAGAAACACCTAGCCATATTCGAAGTTGCCTTCGCCCTAGACGTGAAAGGTTTAATTTCTGAGGGTTTGGTCCCAAATCTCTCTTTCAATTATTTAATTTAATTGTTTGTTTTATATTTTCCTTGAAGTTAATAAGGTGTGTATTTTGTTATTAGAAAGAGGTACGAGGCATCAAAGTAAGGTCTTTAATGGTTTTAATTGATATTATAATGTAGAAATCATGTTTATATTGTTATTATGATATTCCTAGTATCATGTCTAGGGTAATTTTAATATTAAATATGATTGTTATGATGCCTTTTATTTTCTTCCTAATATTTATGATTGTTAGTATCATGTTAGGGCTAAAGATTTGATTTTTATTGCCTAGTGACATGCTAGGGTTTGTTATTAATCTTGTAAGTATCATGCCTAGGATCTTGCTATTATTATGCTTTAACATGATTATTTTTATAATTATTATTATTATAATTTATTTATTATGTTGCTTGATATTTTATTGTTATTTTTTTATCACGCCTTTTATGCATGTTTAAAGGAAATTTATACTTATAATCACGCTTAATAAGATAATTTAATAATCTTGTTTAGGGTTAATATGATTATAATTCAAGTGATCGCCAATAACAGATTTATTTGTGCATTAATATTCAACCAACATAGATTAAGCAGGTTTAGGGTTAATTGTATTGATTGTATGTTAATCCGAAAGCGCACATGAATACGATCAGAATAAAGTAGAGGCCTATTATTAGGGCAGGTTCAATCTATTTTAGGTTGGATTTGTACCTTCATCCCCGAACCCTTATTTGGTTCTATACCTTATGGAGTTGACGATCTCTTGGATCGTTAAGGGGTGTAACCTTCACCCTGTGAACGGTTTACATGTTCCTAAAACTTGTTGGCGACTCTTTTACTCTATCTTCTTCCCTTTTGGACGCCACCGTACTTTAGTGTATGATCACAGTGGGGTTCAAGCTAGGGGTTTAATGCTTGAAATATTCCCTACACCACCGTTTCAAAACCAGTGGGAAAAAGAGCTTTTGGCACCGGTTAACTGGTGGCATATTGTTGTTATTAGCACCGGTTAACCGGTGCCAAAAGGTACTTATCCCTAACATTGTCTCCTTAAACTTTTCAATTAAAAAAATTTAAGATAATAGATTAGTTATCGCTAACATTAATAGTGAAAGGATGTTCTTAATATTAAATATTTAACAATCATATTTGTTAAACCTTAATCACAGAGTATTCTAAAATGCATCAAATGTTACACCGGCCAAGTCTAAGCTTTCAGCAATGACCCATTTAAAAAACATATATTCATCATATGTATGAGTTTGGAATCAATAAATACATTCTTTGTATCAAATAGTGTGATTAAAAATAGCAACTACAACTAATGATTCGAGTGTCCATATGTTAATAGAAATATTAGAAAGAAAAAAAAAAAAGTACGAGTGCAATTAAACTAGACCAATCTTCAAGTTTGAAATGTTATTACTTCATGAATTCTATCATCTTAATGGAAAAGTAATCTTGTTTAATGTGATATAAGTAACTTTCATGGTAAGAATTTTGGTATTGGATAAATAGAAAATTAAGCACAAATTAACCAATTTTTTTTTAAAATAAGAAAAAATGTTGGAAAAGAGACTTGAACCCATGACCTTTTAATAGAAAAACTAATGCTCTAACCACTAGGTGTTGATAAGGTACAATATAATTAAGCACTTTATATTTAATTTAACTAAAAAAACTTCTTTAACCTTTTATTTTATTTTTTATTTTTTTTAATCTGGTAGGGCACGTGCCTTACAAGAACCATAGCTAGCTCCGCCTCTGCGGAGTAGTCTCTATTTCTAGTTTCTTTGAGAGTATTATTGCTCATGCTATGGTTCACCTCACTCTGCTTGAATTTCGACTAGAGTGTGGGTTTGGGGTTGTGATGGAAGATCTTGTTGCTTCTGACTTTTGTTTGAGTAATAATAATAACTATTGTGTGGGTGTGCACTTTTATTTATATATATATATATACATATATATATATATATATATATATATATACGGAGTACTTTCATTAAAAACAAAAAATATACGAAGTAGCCAAGTAGGTAGACAGTTGCAAAAACCATAATTTCGATCACTCACACCAAAAAAAAAAAAAACGACTAGATTATAGTATTCAAGTTCTTGAGTCAGACTTTGAAGTTGAATATGAAGAGCCCTTGTATTGAGATTTTATTGATCATGTGCACTTTAAATATGCTGATAATTACGAATAATATATTATGTTGAATATTATGTCTCAATTAATGGGATATTTAAACTATGTTAGTAGACTTTCCAACAAATATACATACATATATATATATATATATATAAACTTTAAAGTGAATCAAACGGTGTAAGGAAAAATAAGAAATAGATTATTTCATTCCAAGTTTATAATTTAGCTAATTTTTGGTAAATAATTTAGCAAAATTAGCGATATTGGTAAAAGATAACATGTAACATCAAAAACCACTTCCAATTTTATTATTTTAACATCGCATAATTTGAAAATTACAAGGGGTATATAAAAAGGATAGTTATTAGTACATGACCAACATATAAGAATTCATGATAATACCCAACTCTTTGATCAATACATTATTAATATAAATAAAATATTAACACTCCGCACATTTTATAGCCATCACTCATTATTTACCCTTTTGTTCTTCGGAAGTTTTTGTCACCTTTGGGGGATAGTGACCACCATGTCCACCGTGTCCGTAGCCTCCATGGCCATATCCTCCACCGTGTGCATAACCACCACCTTGGCCATATCCACCACCATGTCCGTAACCTCCACCTTGGCCATATCCACCTCCATGTCCATAACCACCACCTTGGCCATAGCCGCCACCATGTCCATAACCTCCACCATGTCCATAACCGCCACCATGGCCATATCCACCACCATGTCCGTAGTGTCCATACTTAGACTCCTCCACGGACTCCTCTTCTTTAGGTGGGTAATGACCGCCGTGTCCACCATGGCCTCCACCATAGTGGCCTCCACCATAGTGGCCGCCACCATAGTGGCTGCCACCATGTCCTCCAAAGTGGCCGCCACCGTAGTGTCCATACTTAGACTCCTCTACAGACTCTGCAAAATAAGAAATATATGCATTACTTTTTTAGTACACTGACATTCTTTTCTTTTCTTTTTTTGACATTCTTTTCTAATCTTATAGTATGCTGTTAAATTTAAAACACTACAATTCTTTACAAAAATAAAAAAGAAAAAGAAAAAAAAAGTTAATAAGCAATTAAAATGATCCAATCCGCTCATTAGAAAATTAGAAAGATATAAACTTTATTTAGAAAAAAGTATATGAATGACGTGCTTTAGATATGCATGTCCCAAAGCTCTTATAAATTATCTAAACAAGATTATGCTTGTCTGCTTGCATATGCAATAAAGATCAAAGTGCATGTAATGTGAACTTATAATATCAAAATTATGTTCAAAAATATTAAAAAAAACAAGAACGCATAATGATATTTTAGGTAGTCTAGTTGGATACTAAATTCATCACAAGCTGACTTAAACTCGTAAAATAGAAATTAGAAGGCAATAGAAACTCACGTGGTTCCTCAGTGGTTGAAGATTCAGCCAATTGACGAGCTGAGCATATGACTAGAGTCACAGCAATAAGGGCAAGCAGCAAAGCCTTTGAATAGGCCATTTTCAAGTACTTCTCTAGGAAACAAGCTACTCAACTTGTACAACTATTTGTGAAGACTTAACTCTTCTTTAGTTTTGGAATACAAACACGAAATGTAGCACATGTATTTATAGGCAATATATGAAAGAATGAGGGTCCCAAAGTAGGTTAGCAGTATTATAGTAATAAATAGTGGTAGCTAATAAAAGAGGGTGAACCAAAATTGAGTAACGATGATAAATTTGAGTAACGCAATCAATTTAATTTGTACAATTATGTAAATCTAGGTGTTATAACATAAACTAAGTACGTGGATATTATGTGTACGTTATATTGCCACCTTTGTTTTCAATTTTACTGTTTGACAAGTAAACGCTACAACTTGTGTAGAGTTATGATTGAAAACGATCTCACGTAATTTCTGGATAGGTATTGTAGCAAATATAGCAATTCACCTACTTGAAAAGTACTTCGTTGATTATTGGTACGATTAATACACTAAAACTGTTAAGCTCGTGAGTTGTCTTGGGTTGTAGTGTACAAAATATTTTATGGTTATGTGATGTTGATTTTTTTTTTTAATTAAGTGTTTTTGATACATTATGGCGTGAAGGTTTATTTAACCTAATCAACAACGGGTTTTAGGCTTTTTTTTTCTCTCTCTAGTTTTTAGAGAGAGATAGTTCCCGGCATTTAGGGTTTTCCCTTGGAAGGATTTTTCCTACCCTCTTTTACTAGGGTTTTTTCTTTGTTTTTCTTCAATCCTTCCCTACTTCTCTTCATCTTCTTCATTCTTGATTTTTATTTGTGAATTTTGTAGGAACTTTCACTGGTTTTTACCGGCGGAAAGCCCCAAAATCTCTTTAATTGCTTTCAATAAAAATATACCATCCTTAAGATGATGTTCATGGTAGGGATTTTAATTACTTGTTTATTGAAGAATGAAGATGAAAGGTTTCGCAATTTCTACCGGAGTTTAGAAGACTACGGAAGTATATTCGTCTAAAAAATTATGCATCTGCAGATCCTATAACGAATCAGAGCGAACTCACAGATTGTATTGCTTCAGATGAAGTTTTTTGTTAAGTCTAGTATCAATCGATTCTGCAATGTTGTTATTTTTTTGGTTTTATATTTTTTGTTGGAATTTTAAATTTCTCAAAAATTGATTGTAAATGCTGTTTGGCTATTTTATAAATGAAGTCTTTAAATTTCCCGTTAAAAAAAAAAAAACCTTATCAACAATATCACTAAATTTCGTAAAACGATATACCACATTATTCATATGTAAACAAGCTATTTGGCTCTTGCTGTGTACGGGCTATATAAAAAAATTGGAAAAGAAAAAACGTTAACAATTTTTTGACCATTGCAATAAACTCAATGAATGCTTTTGAAAAAATGTTGTAATTGTAGAGTGATTAAATTTCTATGAATTAACTGATGAAAATTAAGGAGAATGGGAAGAAAAGAATGACTCGTATGTAAATTGAATAGGAAAATGAATACAATTGATGAAAAATGTTGAAGAATTTAAATATTAAAGATAAAGGGAATAATTTAAATGTTAAGACAAGAGAAATTATTACAAAAGTTTTCTCATAAAAAAAACTTATAACAACTATAGCTAGGGAAGATAACACGATACGTGCGATGAGTGTCCTAGCTAGTCATGTTCTAGATATCTTTCTGTAGGGAATATTTCAAGCATCCCACAATTGAGCCCCACTGTAATCATACACTTAAGTATAATGCAAAGGGAAAGAAGTTAGAGTAAAAGAGTCGCTAAAAAGTTTTAGCAACTTGTAAAGCATTCACATGGTGAAGGTTACACCCTTTCAGGATACATGAGATTGATAACTACATAGTGGACCCGAACCACGACAGGATATTCGGGAATGAAGGTACAAATCCAACCTAAAAGATATTAAACCTGCCCTAAAAATAGGCATCTACTTTATTCTTCTCATATTGGTTGAATATTAATGCACAAACAAATCTATTATTAGCGATCACTTGAATTATAATCATATTAGCCTAAATAAGATTATTAATTATCTTATTAAGCGTGATTAGAAATACAAATTCCCTTTAATCCTACAAGAGATGGCGTGATCAAGTAATAAAAATAATAATATATCAAGCAACATAAATTATCATAATCATCATAATATTAAATAAAACATGATAATATTAGCAAGATCCTAGGCATGATATTAACAAGATTAATAACAAATCCTACCATTTCACTAAACAATAAAAATCAAATCTTTAACCCTAACATGATACTAACATGATATTAGAAAGAATAGGAAGCAACCTAACATGATACTAGAAAGCAATAAAAGCATCATGGCCCAACATGATACTAGGAATTAATATAATATAAGCATGATTTCTATATCAAAAGAACAATTAAATTACTTACTTTGGTGCCTTGTATCTCTTTCTAATAACAAAATACACGCGTTAGTAAATTTAAGGAAAATATTAAATCAAACAATTAAATTAAGTAATTGAAATAGGGATTTGGGACCAAACCCTCATAAATTTTCAACCTTTTTACGTCTAGAGTGAAGGAAACTTCGAACTTTGCTAGGTGTGTCTAGAACTTGTGAATGCGGAATTTTGTAAAAGGGATAGGTTAGAAAGAGGAAGAAAAATAAGCTATTGCTTGAGAGAATTAAGGATGATTGTGAATCTTGATGATTCTGAGTGAATGAAAACGTGAAAATACGACCCTATTTATAAAGAAAATAGTCTGAAAATGATAGAAAAGAATCAGAATTTTAATCGCAATAAAACTGACCTCTGTCGCTGGTGATCGAGCCCAGCGCGAAACGACAAGCATCACACATGGTGACAAGCTATGTCGTTTGGTGACAGACTTGTCGTTTGGCGCTAATTAATAGATAAAACGCGCTTTTGTTCAAAATCTTCTTCTTAATAATTAAGCAATTAAACTCCGTTTTTATCAATTTTAAATTTGATTTTATCAAAATAAAACACTTGTTTTATTTCAAATCAAATTCACTATATTTCTAAAAAAGATAATTATCAATCCTAACTATATTAGAACTCTAAATAACTTTCTAGACTATTATAGAAAATTAGAATCAATCCTAAAATTTTTAGGAATAATAATTAATGGACTCTCCACTAGATCATTGAGCCATAAAACCATTTAAGACCCAATTTAGTATCATGGCCATAACTTCCTCATAATTAATCAGAATTGAGCTTATAATATATCATTGGAATGCTCTTTGCGAGATCGACCCAACTACTCTATTATTGGACGTTAGTCACGGACCAAGATAAATTATGCTAACTATTTTCATAAATAGAGTAGATTTTCGAAAACAGAAAGAAAGATTTTTTTTTAAAACAACCGCATCACAAGACTTTCACTCTTTTACCTTGTTCGATAATCAAGCAACGTGAAAAGTATTCAACACTGGGTTTGGTTTTTGGGGAGAAAAATTTGGGTGTCTACAGAAGCCCCCACTTTAACTGAGTTTAGAGAAACGCATGTTTTGAAAACAAAAGTCAAAGTGATTTTAGAATATTCTGCTATCCTAAATCATTCTTGTAATGCCGATACCTGCAAAAAAGCATTAGTTAAACAAATAAAAGAGTTTAAGAAACGCGTATTTTGCACCGTCGAGCACACGTCTCTAGATTAAATGATTTTGTTGTTGCATTTTGTTGTGACAACTTCCACAATGCCTTGTACACGCCATCGTCGAAGGCAGTTGCTTATAGCTATCCTCGATTGTTTTTTACAATCCTCCACATCCTAGAAAACATCGCCGAAGGTGACTGCTTGTAGTCATTTTCAGGTTTGTTGTGACAATCCTTCCTCGTCTTGGGAATTCTATCGCAAACCACCACCCCTCGAGCGATCCACTAGATGACAATCTTCCATGCCTTGGGAATTCTACCGCAAACCACCACGTCTTGAGTGATTCACTGAATAACAGTCTTCCACGCCTTAAGGATTCTTATCATGAGCTTCTGCGCCTCAAACAACTCACAAATGAACGATGAAAAATTTCCTCGCCTTTGGCAACATGTCGTAGACTCCTTCATGTTGAGCAGTCATCTGAATGATGATTTTCTATGCGTTGGGAAGTCTAATAGTTTAACAGTTTCCACGCCTTGAGAATTCTAACCTGAGCTCTTACGCTTTGAGTAGCTCGCAAGTTGAATTCCGCTAAGTACCCACGCCTTGGGATGCAATCGCCAAATTCTACGCCTTGGGAAGTGTGCATTGATTGAAAATGTTTCTTCGTCTTGGGAAAACTTGTTTGATAATTATGGGTCTCTTTGCCTTGAGAAACTTGTTGTATGAATCGTCCATGCCTCAGGACATAATCAGTTTTTGTTGAATCAAAGTTGTTTTGTTTGACAACCTCCACTTCTCGGGGAACACTGTCCAAGATTGCTTCGCCTTGAGCAATCTACTCAAATTAGGTGACATCCTAAGGAATGTTATCAAAGACCACTACGCCTTAAGCTGTCTTGTTCAAATTTTCTCATCTCCTCGCCTAGTGATAGCTTTGCATGTATTTGAAAACTTGTGTCTTCGGCCTCAAATCTGTGTAAAGATCACTTGTCCGTCCGGGACTTAGGGCCTGTTCTCATTGACTGAACTCAGCTGAACTAAACTGAATTGAACTAAACTGAACTGAACTCAATTGAGCTGAGCTGAACTAAACTAAACTAAACTAAACTGAACTAAACTGAGCTGAACTGAACAGAACTCAATAGAACCTAACTGAACTGAACTCAAATGAATATTTTATAAGAGAAGGAAATTAGGAGCTGAGCTGAACTGAACTAAGCTTAACTAAACTGAACTGAACTAAACTTAACTGAGCTGAACTTAACTGAACAGAACAGAACAAAACTGAATTGAACTGAATTTCAACGTAAGAGAACAGACCCTTAGTGAACCTTCATATATGTTTTGGACTATAAGACTTTGCTTATGTTTTTTCTTAGGGTTAACCTAAGGTATGTTATGCTTGACATTATGATTGCTTTGACTTAAGACTAACTCAAGGTTTAGTGTTAATCATTGTGTAAGACTTAATGTTTTTTGCTCAACTT